CCAGCATATATATATATATTCTTTTTAAAGGAAATCGGTATTTGGCAGAGACCCAAATATCAATTTTTCATGCGCTGGGTCCTATGATGAAACTCACGTTATGTGCCTAAATATCTGAGAACCCAGCGTCACTGGAGATCGAACCCGTGATCTGAGGGGACTTATAGTGAACCTCGCCAACCAACAGGACACGGATATAACTTTTATTTAATTAGGAATAATTTTATCTTTTGAAAAAACCTTAGGGCTTATAAGAATTATGATGAGGAAGTGTTGAGTCCCATATTATTTTTGTTTCTTCTTTTCGGTACTGGTAGAATCTTTTTCTCTGTGAATATAGGCAAATCAATTTAACACCAAATCATTATAAATCTTTTGTGCTTAATTGTTGTCAAGTGAATTTCTACCTGTTACATTATTTTCACATAATAGTTGATACCAGAGTTTCAAATTCGTGATCGTATTGATATTCGACGTTGACCACAACAAATCCGACATTGTCATAGTTTTTGGCAACGAATTCATTTACACTGGCGGAATATTCCATTTACTTTTTCCTTTTGGACTTCGGCGAAAGCAAAAGTTTGGTTTAAAAGGGAAGTTTCTTAAAAAGGATTTTCTGGGATGAAACAGAAAAAAAGAACCACTAACAGCGTTGAGTAAGACAGAAACAGGAAAAAGTATTTTCTGGGATGAAAACAGAACCAATAACAGCGAAGCCGGCCAAGTTTTTTAAAAGCATTTTCTGGGATGAAAACACAAAAAAGAACCAATTTTCTGGAAAGGAATTTCGAAAACATAAAAAGGAATTTTCTTAGACAAAGTAATTTTAGGAAAAAAAATAAAATGTAGAGAAAAAAAAAGGGGAAACTTTATATTTTTTGAAATTATTATTTTTTTTCAGATGATCTTTTTTGTTTATTTTTCTTCTTTCTTTTTTAGGTATTTTGTTAAAGGAATTCTTTTGGGAAAAAAAATCCAACAGTGAGAGCCATGAAGTATAGTATGACTCTTGAGTTTTTCAAAGCCTATTATGACGGTAAAAATGTCGATTCATAAGGTGTTTACACATTTCATTAAAATTGATGTGATGAAATTTGATGATAAATGAAACTTTGACATGTGGCGATGCAAGGTGATGAATGTGACGTGTTCTTTGAATCTGAAGGAATTTTTAATAGTGAGGAATGTCTTGAAAAAATGTCAGAGTGATTGATTGAAGATGAACAAAAGTGTTTATGACTTAATCCGAAATTGCTTGATCCAAGAGATCGAATATGAGGTGACGATGGGGACTTTTGCAGGAAACTTGTGGAGGATGCTAAAGAAAAATATCTCATGAAGAGCGTGGAGAACCATCTTCATATGAGACGTTGACTCTACCGATTTCAGATGAAACGGAGGGTCACTATTGATGAACACTTAAATGACTTCACTATGTTGTTGACAAACCTGTTAAATTTAGATGAGAAGATTAAAGTTGAAGACAAGACGCTTCTTTTGTTGAATTTGCTTCTGGATGAACAAAACTTTCGCTATTACACTCATTCATGATAAAGAGATCTTGAATTATGCAAAGTGACTACGATACTATTGAATTATGAGTTCCGTCGAAGGGACAAGGAGTCTGTAAAGATGGAATCAGCTAAAACACTTACACTCCAATGTGACAGATTTGAGAGGAGAAGTAGAATTGGTCAAAGAAAGGTGATACTGACAACACCTCTCAAAAGCTGGGCAAAACTTGTGGGCGTAGCCTTCGGAAAAAATAAGTGTGTTTTCTGTTTAGAAATTGACAATTAGAAGAAAGATTGTCCAAAGCTAAAAAAGAAGGGAGAATAAGTTGCATCTGATGCGAAAGGCGATTTCATTATGGAAAAATGTGATGAGACGGATTTAGATGTATTGTTATATGCAGTTTCTCATAGTTTATTTACAGATAATTCATGCTGGATTTTGGATACATGTGCTATCTATCATATTAATCCGGATGGTTTTGTATGTACATTGAGTTAGATAGTGGTGCAGTGGCTATGAGTAACAATTAAGTTTGTCGTAGTATTGGTATATGGAGTATCTTTATTAGAATGTATGATAGTACTGTGAGTGAGCTCACCGATGTGAAACATGTTTAAGACATGAAAAAAATTTGCTGTCAATGAGGCTTTAGAGTTCAAGGGCTACAAAGTAGTTATTGAGGTAGTATTTCTGAATATATATTGTGGGACAGTGGTTTTTATGAAGTTCAGAATTATAATCTTTACTATCTTCAGGGTAGTACAATGATTGGAACGACTGCTATTGCTGATAATTCTTCTGACGCCACCATGTTGTAGTATATGCAGCCAAATCATGCTAGAGATGCTTCATTATAGGCTTTGGTGAAGAAAGAATTGATCAAAAGAGTAAGCACCTGCAAGCTTGATTTTCGTGAATATTGTGTATTAGACAAAAAAACACAAATAACTTTTATGACTGTCATCCACAATATAAAAAAAATGTTTTAAAGTATGTTCACACAAATGCTTGAGGCCTAATGAAAACAACATTATTCAACAGGTGGAGATATTTTCTTTTTTATTGATGATTACTTCAGATATGTTTGGATATACACCATGAGGCGCAAAAGCAAAGTGCTGGAGATTTTTCATAATTTGAAAGAAGTAGATTGAAACTTAGACTTGTAATAAGATCTGTTTTATCGGATCAGACAATGAAGGTGAATACACTTCAGATGCATTCTTGCAAGAATGTTAAAAAACTAAGATATATTACCACTTCACTATTCGTTAGACACCACAATAGAACGGGGTGATAAAGAGGATTAACTGGACTTTGATAGAGAAAGTTTCGTGTATGTTATTCAATTTTGGGTTAGATATAATCTATTAGGTCGATGTCATAGAATATGTTTGTCACTTGGTGAACCGTTTACCTTCTGCAACTATTGGGAACAAGAACCCAAAAGAAATGTGGTTAGGGCATTCTGCTAAAGATTATGAGCACATGAGAGTGCTTTGGTGTTCAACTTACTATCACGTGCAAAAAGATAAACTTGAACCATGAGCAAAGAAGGTGATCTTCATTGGCTTCAGGCGTTAAGTCAAGGGCTTCAAGTTGTATGATCAGTCAGAAAAGAAGATTGTCATTAGCATGGATGTTACATTCGACGAGGTAAACTTGTTGAAAAATCGGGACTTAAAGCAGGTGGAGAGTTCTTCTGGGAGCACAGATATGCAACAGAAGTTGAAGTTTGATGCAACTTCATTTATTCCACAGATTTCATCCACTCCGACTCAGATATTTGAGTTAGTTGCAGCTCGAGTGGTAGCTGTTGATAATGCTTAGGAGGTGGAAGAAGATGTTGAATATGAGATTCTCTATTGATAGGAGCAGAACCAGGCGTCGGAATGTCCTAAAACCAACTTGGTTGAGAGATCACATTGCATTTGCACTTTTAGTCCCAGAGGTATAAATTTTTTGTCACTACAAAGAAGCGGTGTAGAGCCCATACTGTGATCTTTGGAGAGCGACAATGGATGAAGAGATGGAGTTTATTTGGAAGAATGGTACTTAGAGTTTTGTAAGGCTTCCTCTGGGAATGAAAGTCATCGGGTGCAAATGAATGTATGCAAAGAAGGAAGAATCTCATGAAACTGATTTGCGGTACAAGACATGATTAGTTGCAAAATCATTAAATGTTATCCAGATATAGTAATCCTTAGAGCTAATATGAATTTATAAATTGAAGGAATGTGAAAAGTTTTTAACTTTAAGAAGTAGATAGTGAAGTTCAAAATCATTAAAGACTATCTAGATATAGTAATCCTCACATGAAAAAGAAAAAAAAAAGAAATGATTGAAAATGATCTTGAAAGAAAAGAAAAAAGAAAAGCTAAAAGCAAAAGAAAAGAAAAAGAAAAAGAAAAGGAAAAGAAAAGAAAATTATGTGAAAAGAAGCTTGAGGAGATGCCTAATAAAAATTTGGCTTCACTTGAATTAACTTGAGGAAGAAGGTTTTGTTACATTTTCTAAACTTGAGTTTGAGTATTAGCATCCTTACTAACAAATATCTTATGAAGTTATTTTTCATATGAATATTCTAAGTAACTTTAATATGACAAATTGTAATTTTTTTGAAATGAATAGAGAATAAAAAATCTTAAACTTGATTAGCAAGTATTCTTACACTTTTAGTTTTGACTTAAGTTGTTAAAAATTTTTCATAAGTTGTGTTATTATATTTAGTAGACAAAATTATAGAAATTTAGAAGTTAAACTCTGTACCATAAGTCATATTTTTATGTAGTAAAAGTGTTACTCGATTATAAGTAACATTTAAGTTTGGGGGATTTTGATACGCCTAAAAATTACCTAATTTTTCATATATATTTTATGCTCAATTTTAATGATTTTTAATGATATTATACTTTAAAGAAATGTATTTTACATATTTTTGGTTTCGGGTACAAGAAATGAACTTTTGGAGAAAATGAAGCAAAATGGTGCAATTTGGAATAAAAATGAGCAAGAAAGAAAATTCTGACTTAACACATTTCGATATAGCTTTCTATGCTTAATCTCATCTACATTTCTCACACATTTTTAAATGAAATTACACTTTAAAGAAATGTTGTTTTCATTCTTATTTTGTAGGTCTATTTATTCGGAATGCAACGCAACTAAAATAGAGTGAAACGGAGTTAAAACGGAGCAAAACGGTGAAACTGCTGCAGTATGGCGCCGACGGCTCCAGAGTCCTGAGAACGAAGAGAAACGGCGCCAACGGCACCAGAGATGATTATCTGCCCATCTACATTGAATTTGAACGATTTTTGGAATGTTACTTAAGACATCTCTTGGGAAATTCATCCCTACACTTTAATAGAGTGATTTTATGTCAGAAAAAGTGTGTGAGCGTGGAAAAATGTAGAGAATGTTTATAGATCTTAGAATATGAGTAGAAATGTAGATTTCTATCTTTTTGGAGAGATTGAAGAGGGATTTTGAGAGAATCTGTAAGGAGATTTGCTAGCATTGCATAGATCAACGGGAGACTTTGTGGGAGAGATTTTTGTTTTTCTTTCAAGGGAAAAAAACTAAGTATTGTGTTCTTCATTATCTTATGATTTTGTAAACACTTATCTAACATATTTGCTTTGATGAAAAGAAGTTTTTCGTTGTGTTCTCTTTGTGTTTTGTATCTTTCTTACTCTTTCTTTTTATTAGGAAAAGAGTGATATGGGAAGATTATGTCATTATTTTTCTTGTATTTTTCTTTTGTAATGAGTAGGATTCATGTTTAGGATATTGGGATGCATTCTAGAAAAAGTTTTGATTGTAAATGTGATGGTTTTTACTTGCACTTCTTTTACATTACAATAAGGGTTTGTTGTAGTATTAAAATTCATTATAATTGCATTAAGACTCGAGAGGGCGGTGTAATTCTCAACAAAGTGGAACCACATTCAAATTCCATGATTGGTCAAGTTCATGAGGGTTGAGTGCAAATAAATAGGGAAATATATATATTACTGGGCGAAAAATTGGAAATTCTATAATGACAGACCAAAATCCTTAATTTGGTTTTAGTGTTTAAGAACTAAAGCGAGAGTTAGCCTTCAAGAGAAGAGAAGTGGAAGCTCTGGAGTGAGACTCAGTATCCTCCTAGCTTAACCACGGATTTAGAAACTAAACCTTAGATTCGCCAACAATTCTCTATAATACTTGACTAAGGGTAGGAAATTAAAATTATTCATATTTGTCGCAAACAATATTTAATGTATCTCATTCTTTTCGTTATTCAATTCATTACATAAGAATAACAGTTTTTAATATCTCAAAATTCTCCAAGTCAATTCATCCAAAAAAGATTATCTTTAGAATTAATATTTTCATTTAGGAATAGTTATTAGTTGTTTTAAACTTAAGACTTACATTTAGGAATACTTGTTAAAAAAACCACTTAAATCGATCTTCCAAACTAAGGACTAATAGTAGTAGACTAGAATTTGACTAAGGACCTCTTAGCTCGCTTCTTCATAGGATTGATATTGGGGCTTTTAAGGAAAACTCTATATTACTTGCGTAGAACCACTAGTGTATGCACTATTTTATATATTTTATAACATTTTGATTTTAACTACTTAATATAAATTGGGTCAAGATTTTGGTCATATTTTGTTAAGTTAAATTACTGCGTAATTTAGGGACATGTCAAGTTTTTTGCACTGTTACAGGGGATTTAAATTGACATAAAACACGCAGGAAAAACAATAAACACTAGGGGTGCATCAAGAATTTGGTCATATTTTTTAAATTTAAATTACTGCGTAATTTCGGGACATGTCAAGTTTGTGGCACTGTTACAGGGATTTAAATTGACATAAAACACGCAGAAAAACAACACACACTAGGGGTGTATCAAGAATCAACTATCTAAATATTTCAAAATGAAGGAGTTAGGTGAAGCTCGCAGAATTCTTGGCATGAAGATTTTAAGGAACAAGACTGTTGGAAAGGCTTTCACAAGGAGCTTCTGTTTAGAAGATGTTGAAGAAATTTGGGGTTGATGACTGGAGCATGGTGGTGAGTCTACCCATTGCATCTCACTTTCATTTGAGTTCAGATCAGCGTTCTAAAGATGATCAGAAACAGAAAGATATGTGATTGATTGTTTATGTTAGTGCAGTAGACAATCTGATGTATGTCATAATTTGTACTAAACCAAACATTGCACTAGTAGTTGGTGTTGTGAGTAGGTTTGTGCATGATCCAAAGAGTTATTGGCAGACTGTGAAGAGTATTCTGAGCTATCTGAAGGGTATAATTGATGTTGGCTTGGTGTTTGAGATGCAGTCATCTATTGCAAATTTTTTAGTAGGCTACACTGACTCAGACTATGCAAGTGATATGGATAGACAAAGATCCCCGACGGGATATTTATTGACATTGACAGAAGGTCCAAACAGTTGGAGGTCATTTCTTCAAGCTACTGTTGCTTTGCCTACTACGGAGGCTGGTTACATGACAGTCGTGGAGGCAATAAAAGAAGAGAATATTTTGTTGATGCAGGGCCTATTGGTTAACTCCAAACTTTAAAAACATGAGTCTCTGACGATGTTCTGTGATAAAAAGTGTGTGATTTCTTGGTTACAAATCCAGTTCATCATGCTTGTACCAGGCCCATTGATGTGAGACACTACTTTGTTCAAGACTTGATTGAAGAAAACAATATTTTATTGAAGAAGAGAGATACGAAGTAGAATCCAACAGACATGCTCTTGAAGATACTACAAGTCTAGAAATTCACCTATTGTAGGAGTTTGGTGAACATCCAAGCTAAGAACTGATTGCTAAGGAGGACATTTTGAAGAACTACGCTATGTGAGGCTTGATCCCTTTGGGAGGAGGAGTGCGAAGACAATCATCTTGGTGCAGCTGTTTGAAGTTTGGAGATCATTTGGTCATCTCTCACTTATCCGAAAGTAAGAGATGAGCTGAAGATTATTATATTTATTGCTTCTGTTTAATTAGTGGTAATTTTGTTTTTTGACTTTTTTTACTTGTATGCCCTATTCCTCCTTTATAAAAAAAAAAACACTTAGGGATTATGAGAGTTATGGTGAGGAAGTGTTGAGTTGTAACCCCAAGCTGTTCTTATTCTTGTGAAAAATAATTACTTTTATTGTTATCTTTACTTTTATTGCTGTCTTCTAGAGTTAGAAGACAGGTCTTTGATTTTTATGAGCCATTTGTAGTTTATGTACCGTCTTATTGTTTCTGTATCTCTTTTTAGTTAAATAGAACAACAAAAAAAAGGTTGTCTTGTATTTTTATATGTATGGTTTTTTTTATATATGCAGATTAGGATATTTGTCTTGCACTGCTGATTCCTTTTTTGTTTCATAAGCTTTTGATTTTTTTTTGTTTAAGGAAGTCGATATGGATTGAGCACCATTAAAACTGTTATAAATATGTGATGGTTTTATTTTCACGTATAAAAGGAGTGATTATGAAATTATCATTTTTTTTCTTAAACATGGTTTCTATCTCTAAACAATCTAATGAGCCGATATTTTAATCTACTGACATTACTGAAGTTAAATGACCATTGAGATTTTAGAGTTATCTTAGTTACTTTCAAGTGATTTGGTTGTGAGAATGACATTGAAACTTGGTTTTTTTTTTGGGGGGCATTTTGAGTGAATTTGTTCACAAATGTTAGAAATTAGAAGTTAATGCACTTGAGCTCTTGCCTCTATTGTGGGAGACAGGTTCCAACCACGGATCATAGAATAATTTGAACTTTTTGTGAGATTACTTTTGTCTTGCTTTTCTGTAGGTTTTACCCCTTGTTCCTCCAGGGAGGAAGTCCAATGAAGATGGATCACCTTATGCTGGTCAGGTAACTTTTCTGTTCTTACATGGAATATCCTTCATTGAATTAATTATCTTCTACTGGTGATGTTTAGTTAATCTCTCATTAGGATTGCTGAAAATTATCAGTTTTAGATCAATGAGGCATCTTTTGTAGTTTAGAGTTTATTAGCGCGTTGTAATTTTGCTTTCTTGTTTTGTTGAAGTAAATATTCCACTGGCACTTATTTTACTTATTTGAATTTTCAGCTCATCTGATTAGATGCTATGCTGCTACTTGAGGCGTTTTATGTGTTGCTTTTCTCATATCCTTTAAATACTCAAGTGAAATGAAAATTATTGTTCATAGACAATATATGTATCCTTAAAATGTTAGCCATTTGATGGTACAAAATCTGGGTAAATAATATGCATTTTAAACCATGTCATGAGGAAGTTTTACTACTAGTAATTTCTGTAACACAAAAAAGATTGCTTTTCACTTAATGTATTTATTTTTTTTTAAATAATAATAAATAAAAGAGGGCTGCTTTGTCAAATTTACTGGAATGACATTTCAATACATGTTATATTTTTCTACTCTAGCATTTCCATTTTAAAGTTTGGTGATCTTTTGATGATTTTTTATAGGATGCAAATTGTGGAAACACTCTTCTTATCTCACTTGAAGAGCTTGTCAAAGATGGTTTGCTTATGAAGGATGAACTTCCAGACCCCATGTGAGCTTAAGCATATCTTGTTTTTGCAGTTATAATTAGATTGGCATTCATTTTTATGCCGCTTGGTCTTTGTTTTATCTAACATACGAATGTTGGCATTACATAATTTAAGGGATTTGGAAAAGGTTCAGTTTGCAACTGTCGCAAATTTAAAAGATCCTTTAATTGCTAAGGTTAGTACTTGTAAAATTCATTAAGCTATTTCAGTATCCAATGCAAGGGATAGGATTTGCATTATTTATTTAGCTTGATTGCTTTCTTTGTATTATTCATAGACTTGTACTTAGACTTTGTGATAGTGTTGAAATTGAATCTTTAACTAAAATTCATTTTCTAATATGGTTGATCAGTCAAAGTGTCATCCTAATGATTTACATGTAAGTGCATGTTTTCTGAAGTCGCAAGTTGTTTCTGTTCATACTTTTTGTTGTCAACAATGGTAAAATCATAATCTTATACGTGGCCAGTATGTTGGTGAAGATTATTTTTCTTGGCTTTATGTTAAATTTCATTTAGTGTTTGTCAAGGCTTTGAGTTTGTAGGTGTGATCTTTTGCATCATCCCAAATGTCTTTCCCTTATTTTTGCTTTCACCAATCAATCGCTTAATTGAAGCTTGAGATGCCCATCTCTTCATCGAGGTTCATTTGCTTTTGTTGTTGCTTCTTTCATACCTTGAACTCATGAATATTGGATGATTAAGTTGTGTTGTACAAGACCCGACACGCATGGGTGATGCTATATATATATATATATATATACTGTGCTGTACAATTTCTATTTGAGCTTTCACTCCAGACTGGCTAAGTGCAGCACAATTCCTATATTTTTCCCGTGTCCTTTTACATTTTGATTGTTTCTTAATGAGTTATCATAATAGCCTCATTATAAAAAATTTCAGTTTATTTAACTTAAGATGAGATTTTGAGGAAGGAGAAAGGGTACATGTTTGGCTATCTTTTCCTTCAAATGGGATCTATAAAAGAAAGCTTTCCTAAAGGATTGTAATTGGCATCATACTTTTTGAGTTGCTTTTGATTGGAGATGTGATTGCCAAGATACACAGTTTATTAAGCTGGAGTAGTTCTAAATTCCTCTTGTAAGTGATTTAAAATCTTCTGCATTCTTAATCAATTATTGTAGTGGCTACTTTTAAGCATTGAAGTTGTATAATTGAAAACTCTGGAAGTCACATCCTATAATTTTTTCTTAAATAGGCATCTTTTTGGATTGAGATTATTTTATATCTTCCAATAGAAGCTTTGCTATTTTAGACCTTGCGATATCTTCTGTTGCACAAACTATGTGATAGTTAATCCTAGATAATTTGTTCACATTAAATTCTTTTTTTAGAGATTCATTATATCGACATGTTGGCTAATCTCATAGAATTTAGGCAGCTAAGAGGCTCACGCTAAGTCATGGGGATCTCAAGCTCCAGTTTGAGAGTTTTTGCAAAGATCCTAAAATCTCATGTATGTATATCATACCTTCACTCTTTCTCAAAGCAAGCCATGCATCTCTTGAACTTGTTTAATGATGAACTCTTTTGTCCATCATTTAAATCTGTTGATTGCTTAAATAGATGGATAGGAGATCTAACATGGAAACCTCTATTATATTGTCCATATATTCGTTCATCATGTTTATCTTGTAAGAGCTTTTTTTTTTCTTTTTTGTATTGTTGTTTGTGATATGGGCACAATCATAGGAGAAATATTTGCGTACGGAAAACGTACGCAGAGTTGCATACATTTTAGGTTATTCGGAGGGTATAGTTAGGTTACATTTAGGTTTCTTGAAGAATTACAAAGGGGTATAACTTAAGTGTAACCTAATTGTACCCTCCAAATAACTTAAAATGTACGTAACTCTGCGTATGTTTTCCGTGCGCAAATATTTCTCCAATCATAGAGGTTTTAAGTACATTTCTATTTTTGTTTTCATGTTTCCCTTTCAGTCATTTCATATGACAAACCGAGCATTTATGTCACCTTTTTGGTAAAAAAAAAAAGCTAGACTACAAGAAGTTTGAGTTGTGCATCCATGCTTGTATGCACACATAAAAAGAGTCTTATGCTAGGTGGTTATTTACTTCTAACCACTTAAAATGCCATGTGTACATATAATGATATAATTTTTTTTATATTTATAAAGTCATTATTATACATAATAACCTCAACATTCTTTAACAACTATCTGCCTTTACACAAAACTATCTAAAATATGTCCTGAACAAACCCATTTTCTCGTTTCCACTAACTTACCACATCTTAGTCTCAACATATAAGAGATTGCACTCATTCCACCAGGCCTAATATCTCATGGCGATCAATCCTATGGTTCACGCTCTCTTCCTAGCATTTTGAAGGAAGAGATGTTGGCATGTTCCAAGTTGTTGTGGGCTTGCAAGGGTTTAATTAGCTCACCCAAAAGAACTTTTCCTTATTTATTAAGTTCATTGAAAGATGAATGAAGCTGAAAACAATTTTTTTTTAGATGATGATCATTTTACTGTATAAATACCATTTTGAGTGTATGCGCGGAGTGTTTTATTTCACATTTATTCATTGAGAGTGTTGAGTGCATATCTGGTTTCAAAAACGATGATTATGCTATTATATTTGAGGGAGAAAAATTATTCTCTTAATTATTCATAGTTTTTTTTTATTTCTTTCCTTTTATTTAATCATGATGATTTGAATTTCCCTCCCATTGTATTAGGGTTAGTTTAAGTTTTATATATATTTGTTATTTGTTTGATGAGTTTTTTCTTCCAAATTCCACATGGTGTCAAAGCTAGGCAAGAAACTCTAGATCTCCTTCAGTCGTCGGAATACTCCTTGCAGTCTGCAAGCTTCCCTATGCCTGACGCATCGCAACCGCTAGCCAAGTGCCCGTAGAATTTCGCTACCTCTTGCAAATTTCGGCGGCTTTGCTTCCCGCAAGTGCGCTAGCAACTCCCTCCCTCCAGATTTTTGCATCTTTGTCTCCTGCAAGCGCACATGAGGTTGCGACTTCCGTTGCTTTCATACAGAGCAAGTTACAAACACATGATTTTCTCTCGCTAGTGTAATCATAATTTGATTATCTGCCTTTGGATCTGTAGCATAAATCATGCGCTCTCTACCGCCAAAATTTTCTTTTCTAGTGGATATCCAAGACCTATTGCATGCCACAATCAGGTCTGACTTTATTCTCTATGGCGGAAATCATATGTCGGCGACAGACATTTTCTCTCTTTTGTGTCGACAACAGACATTTTCTTTTTTCTAGTGGAAATGTTGTGTTGATGGCAGTGTCTTTTTCTCTAGTGGAAATCCAGATGATGACCAAATGCGGCAAGAAAACTACTTCCTCTTTAAAAGTTACATCTTAACCTGAACCTAAGATGTTTGGTTCTGCAACATCTGAATTCTATTCTTACATTTCTAATCACAATCTATCGGACAACAATTTCCTCTAATGATATTAATTTGTGCTCATGTACATCTGTGGTAAAAGATGATCATCACACCGAAGAAAATACTGCACTAGAAATTACCGATCCTAAACATCAGACATGGAAGATTGAAGATAACATGATCATGCCATGACACCATGGAAATTGGAGAAAACTTAGTCTTATACAAAACGATAAAGGAAATAGGGATGCCGCAAGGGAAATATATTCAAGTGTGACAATATCTCTGAAGTATTTGACATTGAAACTAGATTTCATGACCTGTGACAGAGTGAATTGAATTCTACTCAATATTTCAATACTCTCTCAAACTATTAGCTTCAACTATATATGTATGAAACATACACATGGAGATACTCAAAAGACTCTGTACTTAAAAAAAAATCATTGTTGAACTGAAGAGAACTATCAAGTTTCTTCTAAGACTCAACATGGAACTAGATGAAGTCAAAGAAGAATCATAGGAACCAAAATTCTTCCCTCAATTCATGAAGCCTTGGTTGAAGTACACGGGGAATAGAATAAGAAGAAAACCATGATGGTAGGCAATCATTGTACATCAAATACTGGTAACTTAGTTTTATGCACTCACAAATCAAAGAGGAATATATTGTGGTGTGAACATTGCAAAAAGTTTGCTCCTTTAAAGGAGAAGTGTTGGAAGATTTGTGAAAAACCTACAGATTGGAAGCCCAATAAAGTCAAAGGTGATGAGGAAAATAAAGCAAACACAACATCAACGGAGGACAAGTCTCGTGAAAATAGTTCATTCAACAAGGAACAACTTGAAGCTCTCCAAAAAGTTCTGGGACAATATTCTAAGTCTTCTAACCAAGTTTCTAGCACATTAATGTAGTATTAAATTTGCTCTTGTTGCTCTCAACATGAAAAATTAGCATTGGATAGTAGACTCCGGCGTATCTGCTCACATGACAGGTGATCACTACTTTCCATTCATTCCATTCTTGCAAACACCATGTTGCATTTAGAGTTGTAGATGACTCCATCTCATTTATGAAAGGAAGATGAAGTGTGAAACTCATAAATGATCTTATTCTTTAATGTGTTTTATATTTCTAAATTTCACTGTAATTTATTGTTTATTAGTAAATTCACTCATGACATGAGTTGTGTTATGAAATTCTACCCTAATTTTTGTGAATTTCAGGTGACATATTCGAAGAAGGTGATTAACAGTGTTGATATGTATCATGTACTTTATTTGCTCGCTAAGACTCTCACTTCAAAAGAATCATTTCATCATTCACAATCCTTTGAGTCAAATCTTGTCTCTGAGTCTGTTTCTCATGAGAATGAAGTTATTTTATGCATTTTTTCTTGTACATCCTAACTTCAATATATTTTCATTTATTTATCAGTAAAAAGTCTAGTTCTTATCAGCGTGAAACTTGTCGACTTGCTAAACATAATCTACAAGTGTACCCAAGCCTGAAATACAACCAACACATTCCTTCGTTATGGTTCATAATGATATTTGGAGGCCCTCAAAAATAAAAAAAATACAAATGGGGCTAAGTGATTTCTCACCTTCATTGATGATCACACTAGAACCACTTGGACTTTTCTCTTGAAGTAAAAATCTGAAACCATTAACATATTTGAAACCTTCGGCAATATGATCCCTACCCAATGGCAGAGTAAAATTCATATTCTCAAAATTGATAATGCAAATGACTAATATGACTCCACTCTTGGCGCTTATCTATCCAAAAGTGCATTATTCTTATAAGCCCTTGTGTTAACACACCCCAACAACATGGTGTGATAGAGAAAGAACATTCATCTCCTTAAAGTGGCCCAGTCAATTATATTCACTAATGATGCATCCAAACACTTCTGGGGGATGCAAATTTCACATCCACCTATCTCATAAATAGGATGCCCAACAGAGTGATAAACATTAACAAACCATTCAACACCCTCATAAATTCTACCCACATATTCAGTCATTCACCTCTAACTTATCATTAAAAATGTTTGTTTGCATTGTTTTTGTTCATCTACATCAAATTAATCAAACCAAACTTGATCCCATGTCAATCAAATGCATCATTTTGAGCTATTCTTCAAATAAAAATGGGTATAAATGCTACTATCTAGGAACACAAAAATTTTACAGTTCCATGGATGTCATCTTCTTTGAAAACCAATCATATTACCCTAAATCTAACATTCAGGGGAAGAGTTTGAGAGAATATCATATTTGGGATACCTCCAGGATTAAAGAAAAAGACAACAATCAATTGGTGTGTAAACTAAAAAAATATATTGTATGGGTTGAAACAATCTCCCAAAACATGGTTTTAAAGGTTCACTAAGACCATTCTTATTAATGGGTACTATTAGTGTCAAGTTGATTACATTTTATTTGTAAAATCAAATCAAGAAGATATGATAACTATCCTTATCGTATATGTAGATATAATTCTTATAGAAAATGACATAAGAAAACTTGAAGACTATTGACATCTGAGTTTGAGATCAAAGATCTTGGTACCTTTAAGATATTTTGTGTCAATAGTAGTCAGGTCGAAAGAAGGCATTATCGTATCCCAAAGAAAATTTAATGTTGGGATGTAAACCAACATATACGCTTATGAATCCCAATCAATGAGCATCAAAAGGAGAGGGTAACGCCCTAGCTGAAAAAGGCTTTAATCAAATACTTGTGAGAGAACTTATTTTTCTATCATATAAATGACCCGACATTGCTTTCTCTGTGGGTGTAGTGAGCCAACGTGTGAGCGATACAAATGAAGATCATTTAGAAGCTATCTTATGAATCCTAAGCACCTAAATATGACTCTTGGATATGGATTGACATTGAGATCTACACTAATGGTAGCTGGGCAGGAGAACTGGCTAATAGAACATCTAGCACAGGTTGCTTTTCATTTGTATGGGATAACCTTATTACTTGGAGAATTAAAAAATAAGCTACGGTGACAGAAATCAGCGCAGAACCTGAGTATCATACCCTGGCTCTAGGAATTTGTGAAGGGGTGTGGCTAAAAAAACTATTGGTGGAATTTCACATGGAAAACCAAAGCACCATTAAGAAATTCAGTGATAATCAATCAATCATCAGTATTTCAAAGAACCCGATACACCATGATCAAGCCAAACATATAGGGATTGACAGACACTTCATCTCTGATAAGGTCAATAGAGGGGTTCTTCAGCTAAGCTATATCTCAACTCAGTATCAAATTGCAGACATTCTTATCAAAACTCTTCCTCGGCACCATTTCAGTGATCTCAACAAAAAGTTTTGGATGTATGACACATACAACCCAACTTGGGAGGAGAGTTGCTATGTATGTCCAATTTAGGAAACCATGCGTTTGTTATTATATTTGAGAGGAGAAATTCTTTTCCCTTAATTATCCATTATTGTTTTTTATTTCTTTACTTTTTTTAATCATGATGATTTGAATTTTCCTCCCATTGTATGAAGGATATCATAACTTGTATATATATTATTTATTTGTTTAATGAGAAAATAAGAAAGTTTTTTCTCAAAATTCTACAGTTTTAGTAATTCTAAAATTTTAGAAAACAAAGGTTGAAAGATAAATGAATTTGCACCCTACCTCATTGACGAGGGTAACAATTTAACATATATGTTTGGTTATTCTATCATAGAATTAGATAGAACATTTAAAAGATACAAATAAAATTATTTTTATGAGTAAGTTTCAAGATTTTAAAATCAATTTGCTTGGAGAATCAAAATGAAAAGTTATTATGAATAAAAATAGTTAATCTTGGAATAATAATGTGCAAGAGAAGATAAAAAATAAGTTTTGTTATAAAAATTTGTTTAAAATCTTGGAGAATTGTATAAAATATAAGGTAGTCTATAGGGAGTCAAAAAACATAATTTGTGATACTAAAATTTTATTATTAGTTAAATTTATAATAGAGTATATACTAAAGAGAGTGAAAAATATATGTATAAACAACCTAATAAAGATATAAGAAAAATAAAGATTTAGTTAAAGTAAAGTGTGTTAAGGATGAAAAGCAACAAATGTTTTTATTAGATAAAGTTATTCAACATAGGTGAGTGAGATATTTTGATGCATTTTTAAAGATGATTTTTAAAATATGCTCAACTTCAGTGTTTTTAATATCATAAATAATAACAAAATTTTTTGTTTCTACCGTCGCACTAGTAAAATGGAAGTTGATGAGGTTTTAAACAAAATGAAATGCAAAAAAGTAGTAGGACCTAATCATATTTTAATAGAAGTGTGAAAATATAAAAGAGATATAACAACTTTTTGGCATACTAAAATTTTTAATATTATTTTTAAAATTAAATAAATATTTGATGAATAGTAAAAATGTTTATTGATTCATATTTGTATTCAGTTATTATTACTTTTTATTGATTTATATTTTTAAAAATAAAGATGATGCACAAGAGTGTACAAATTATAGTGGTAATTAAGTTAATGTGTCATACATTAAAGTTATAAGAGAGTATTTGAACATGGGTTACAACATGATACAAAAAAATTTCAGAATTACTTTGGATTCATGTTGGGAAAGTTGACTATGGAAGTTATACATTTATTGAGAGGTTTGTTGGAAAAGTACAAAAAGAGTAAAGAGGATCTACATATGATATTTGTTGATTTAGAAAACAAATTAGGATAAGATTTCAAGAGTACTTTAGAGAATTCTAGAAAAATAAAGTGTTAATATTCTTTTTACTAAGTTATTAAGATGTATATACTATAACTATTACTTGTGTTCAAATATAAGGAGGATTATCCAAGTAAATTTTTATTTCAGTTGGATTAAATAAGGGATCGGCTTTAAACTCATATCTTTTTGCTTTAGTTATGGATGTTCTTATTAGACATTTAGGAGGATGTAGCTTGTTGTATGTTTTTTGTTGATGATATCCTTCTTGTGGATAATATTAGAGAGAATTTAGGAAAAAAACTTGAATTAAGGAGGTCAACCTTAGTGTCTAAAGGATTTTGTTTAAGTAGATCTAAAATTGAATATATGAAATATAATTTTAGTTGTAGCAGTTCTTGTGGTAGCAATGGGTAATTAAATTATCAAAAGGAGTGAATGTTGTAGATATCTCGGGTCTATTGTTCAAAGTGATGGTTGAAGTGGAGGAATGTATCAGGCCTATTATGTGATAAGAAAGTATTGTTTAGACTAAAGGAAAATTTTATAAGATGGTGGTGAGTCCTGAAATGCCTTATGGCACATAACATTGGCCTGTAAAAGAGAAGCATAAAATTAATTGTTGGCTTGGGTGAAAGTGCTCACGTGGATGAGTGGCTTCACACTTGGAGACAATGCAAATGGTTTGGAGTATATCCGATGGTAGACAAAGATCGGAGAACCTTAGATGATTTGGTCACATTAAACGCCGACCATCTGATGACCAAGTTAGGAGAGTAGATGTTTTATATTTGACTTGTGTTAAGAAATGTAGAGGTAGACCTATAAAAACTTGGGAATGTTGTATAGAAAATGATCTTAATTTATTAGAATTAAATGAAAATATGACACTCAATAAGACACAATGGAAAAAAAAACTCATGTAGCCGACCACACTTAGTGGAATAAAGGCTTGTTGTTGTTGTTTTCATGTTTAGAAGTTGTCTTCTGAGCATATTGGATGAAACATGAATTACTTGAATGAATCATGAATGCTTATCTTCACGTTTTTTTATTATTTGGCAAAATGTTACGGAGTGGGTTCTTTATGCATTTGTTCATTGTTTTTCTTGTCCTTTTAGGTTGGCTTGAAGATGCGGCACTTTTCGCTGCAATTGATCATGGTGTCAATGCATTTTCATGGTATGACTGGCCTGATTCTCTTAAAAATCGGCACCTTGGGTCCTTGGAAGAGTTTCATCAAAGCAATAAGGATTTTGTAAGAACCATAAAAGTTGTACTCTTTTAAATCTAACTGTTGAACATTCTCCATTTATCTGAATTCATTTTCCATGCAGATCTATACATTTATTGCTCAACAGTTTTTATTCCAGAAGCAGTGGAAAAAAATACGCAGTCATGCACATAAATTGGGAATTACGATTATAGGTGATATGCCAATTTATGTTGGTCATCATAGTGCAGATGTATGGGCAAACAAAAGGTCATTTTTACTGGTAGGAAACTTCATTTTACTTAACAAAAATGATGTCTTATTTTCTTGATTAGAAGACAAATTACTCACCTTCTTTTTGAATAATAGAACAGGGAAGGCTTCCCAATCCTGGTTAGTGGTGTTCCTCCAGATGCCTTCAGTGAAACAGGTCAACTATGGGGCAGGTATGGATTGTTAAGCGTCTGTTGAGCCATTTGCAAATCTACCATTTGTTGCTCCATTATGAATCTACTGTCATTGATTTGTTATTTTCAATTATTTTTCCATTTCATTGCACTCAAATTCTTAGCATCCATGTAATGTCTTTGTGCACTTTCTCTGATAATATATTTTTATTATTGATAGTCCACTTTATGATTGGAAAGCAATGGAGGATAATGGTTATAGATGGTGGATACAGAGAATAAAACGTGCCCTTGATTTATATGATGAATTTCGAATCGATCACTTCCGCGGATTTGCAGGGTTTTGGGCTGTTCATTCTGGTTAGTCCATTTATAAGCATTACAATATGCATTTCTATGCTAAAAAATAAATATCTAGGATCAGAAATTTATAGTAAAATTTATAACTTGCAGAGGCAAAAATTGCAATGTTTGGAAGATGGAAGGTAGGCCAGGCATTAAGCTCTCTCTATATTATTTTGTTGAGGAAATGTTTGTGGTTAATGCATACCTGTACGTTTAAATGACAGTAGGCAGGACCAGGTAAGGCTTTCTTTGATGCCATTTTCAGAGCCGTTGGAAAAATCAATATAATTGCTGAGGACTTGGTATGCGTGAGAAAATTCCCATATTTACATGCCGAAAACTATTTATTTCATTTTCTTTTACTTTTGATGCGGCTTCCATTTCTATTTTATAGGGTGTAATAACAGAGGATGTCATTCAGTTGAGGAAATCAATAGGGGCTCCTGGAATGGCTGTTCTACAGTTTGGTAATTTATCACTAGAAATTAATATTAACTGCACACATTTTCTTTCATGAATTTCTCCCCACTATAGTTTCAGTCGAAGTTGAATTGCATTTCTGATACATCACGTTCTCCAGCTTTTGGCAGCAGCTCAAATAACCCTCACTTGTCTCATAACCATGAACTGGATCAAGTTGTGTATACTGGAACTCATGATAATGATACAGTAAGTGTCATCTGAAAATCTTGTTTTCCTGCAATTTTATATGTTCATGGAGGATTTGTATTTTCCAGGCCTTGGGTTGGTGGGAATGTTTGAAGGAAGAAGAGAAGAATAATGTTAGTTTGTCAACTTTTGTTTTTCTTAAACTATACTATGGCTGTTTACTCTGATCGATCATGCATGTCCTTTTCATCTGATTTCAGTGATACAAATGAATATTTGTTCAGGTCCATAAATATCTTCATATGAGCAAAGAGGCCAACATTTCATGGGCCCTTATTCATGCAGCAATTTCTTCAGTTGCTAGAACAGCTATAATACCCATGCAAGACATCCTGGGTTTGGGATCCTCAGCTAGGATGAACACACCCGCAACTCAGGTAGCTTAATCATCCTTTCTCTTCCGTTTTATCTTTTATCTTTGGAGGCAATAGTAAATTAATTTTGGGAAATTTACATTCATACCACACAATTCTTATGTATTTACATATCTAACACCCAAAGTTTGATATTTATACTTATATAACATCTTGGTGTCATAAACTTATGCATGAAAAAATGTATTTTACTTTGAAAAAGATAAATAATAATTGTGGTATTTTTGATGTGACTTAAAAAAAAACTGTTTGTGCTAGCAATGAAGTTCAGTTTTATTTTTTGTCTTCTCATTTGTATAAAAATCATCCATTTCAATGATATTTGCAGTTGGGAAACTGGAACTGGAGAATTCCTAGCGGTTTAAGCTTTGAGAAACTGAAGCCGGAGGCAGAGAGGATTCGTGACATGCTCTCATTGTACAACAGGCTCTGAAGCTTCATCTGATTATATGACCGTTTATCATTTCGGTTTTAATAAGGATATAAAATACTAGTGCTCCCATTTTCTTCGATTGAGAACTGTAAGCCACTTGGTGACTTGGGAGACTTGTTTTAACCTTCTCAGTAGAAATGAAAGCAAAAGCAGTCGTGCAAACATAAATAAAGAACTGGAAATTTTCAGATGTTATAAAAAATCTAGAACTGTTGATGTGAATTGCTTATTGTTTTCAGTGTTTTCAGATGCTTCTGGTTTTTTTCCATTTGAATTTCAACTTCCATGTTGTATTGCAGCATTTATGAGATAAATTATTCTAATTTTTAATTGATTTTTATTGTAGAAGTTGAAATGACAAGTATTTATTTCGAACATAAACTAAAAGAAGAATAGTAGAAAGTCAACTGATCAGTAGACAACAGTCACCGCACAGCATCTGGAACCAGCCATCTTACTGTAACATTACTAAATTCATATATTCTGGTCAAATAAACTGAATGATTACTCAAATCCGGATAATGCTTGTTCAAATTAATAAATAAATAACTTTGAACATTTCCTTAAAACTCAAATATGTTCAGGATCAAGTTTGTCCGCTGTTCAATGAAAAATTTGTTAAATATTTTATAGTTATATGATATATTATTTAAATAAAATTTATTTAAATATAACTTAATAAATTATATATTTACTAATAAAATATTATAGTTTAATGTATATATATATATATGCAATAACGTTATCCTTACCGATTTCTAAGTTTCCTCGGTTAAGTTCCCATTAGCACAAGCAAAAAAAAAAAAAAAAACAAGGAAGAAAAATTAACTTCCCTAATATTAATCCAAATCGAATCATCCTCTCTTTCCTGTCTAAAGCCCGCTTGCTGTCTCTCTCCCGTCTTTGTGTCATTTCGCTGCTGAAGCCTCATCCATAATGAAGAGGTGGAACTCCTGAAGCCGGATCAGTAGCACCGGCGGCGGTGGAAGCAGAGGAAATCGACGGGCGGCGGCACTTGGCAGTCGGCGCCGTTCCACCCCGCTAGTTCTCTTCGACCATCTTCTTTGGAGGCTGGAGAACGCCGATCCGCTGCCGGAGTTGCTCGATGACCTCGTCGATTTCTATGCTCCGCCGGGTTATGAATGGGATCTAATAGAAAAAGCACTCCTAAATGATTGTAATCGGCATCATGTTTTGAGGTGCTTTTGATTGGAGAGATGATTGCCGGATATGCAGTATATTTGGCTGGAGTGGTTTTGAAGTGAATAATTAATTCCTCTTGTAAGTGATTTAAAATCTTCTGCATGCTTAATCAATTATGTTTGCAAGATATGCAGTAAATTAAGCTGGAGTAGTTTTAAAGTGAATAATTAATTCCTCTTGTAAGTGATTCAAAATCTTCTGCATGCTTAATCAATTATCATAGTGGCTACTCTTAAGTACTCTAGTTGTATAATTGAAGACTTTGTAAATCACCTCCTATAGTTTTTTTTTCTTACATAGGCATCTTTTTTGGAGTGACATTATTTTATATCTTCCAATAGAAGTTTTGCTATTTTTGATCCGGCCATAGCTTCTGTGAGACAATCTATGTGATAGTTAACACTAGATAATTTGTTCACCTTAAATTCTTTTTTTTTTTTAGATTCATTGTATGGACATGTTGGCTAATCTCATAGATTTTAGGCAGCTAAGAGGCTCACACTCAGTCAAGGGGATCTCAAGCTCCAACATGAGAGCTCTTGCAAAGATCCTACAATCTCAAGCTCCACTTTGAGGGCTTTTGCAAAGATCCTACAATCTCTTGTATGTATATCACCCCTTTACCCTTTCGTATAGCAAGCCATGTGATGAACTTGTTTATCTATCATTTAAATTTGTTGATTGCTCAAGTAGATGGATAGTAGATCTAACATGGAAACCTCTATTATATCGTCAATCTTTTCTTTCAACGTGTTTATCTTGTAAGAGCATTTTTTTTATCTGCATGTCTGTTTGTGATATGGATGCTATATATTATATCGGTTGGAGATATCCCATCTTCTTGAATTCCTTCAGATGGAAGGGGGGCAATTTGGAGATATGGGGTCAATCATAGAGGCTTGAAGTACATTTCTATTTTTGTTTCCATAATTACCTTTCAATCATTTCATATGGCAAACCAAGCATTTATGTCACTTTCGTAGTTAAAAGAAGAAAGTTAGACTACAAGAAGTTTGAGATGTGCATGCATGCTTGTTTGCACGCATAAAAAGAGTCTTATGCTAGATGGTTATTTACTTAAAACAACTTAAATGTCATGTGTACATATAATGATATAAATTTGTTTATATTTATGAAGTCATTATAGTAAAAATCTCAACATTCCCTCACAACTATTTGCCTTTACACAACTATCTACAATATATCCTCTGCCCTTCCATTGCCTTTACACGCCTCAACATTTCCTGAACAACACCCCTTTCCTCCTTTCCACCAACTTACGACATCTTAAACTCACCATATAAGAGATTGTACTCATTCCACCAGGCCTAGTATCTCATGGGTATCAATCCTATGATTCACGCTCTCTTCCTGACATTTTGAAGGAAGAGATGCAGGCATGTTCTAAGTTGTTATGGACTTGTAAAGGTTCAATTAGATCACCCAAAATAACTTTTCTTTATTTATTAAGTTCATTGAAAAATGAATGAAGCATAAACAATATTTTTTATATATGATGATCATTTTACCGCATAAATATCATTTTGAGTGTATGCTCTGTGTGTTTTATTTCACATTCATTCATGGAGAATGTTGATATGCATATCCGGTTTAGGAAATCATAGGTCTGCTTTTATATTTGAGAGGGAGAAATTATTCTGCTTTAATTATTCATTGTTGTGTTTCATTGCTTTCCTTTGTTTTATCATGATGATTTGAATTTCTCTCCTATTGTATGAATGTTAGTCTAAGCTGTATATATATTTGTTATTTGCTTAATGAGAAGATAAGAAAGTTTTTTCTCCAAATTCTACATGGTATCAAAACTAAAGAAGATACCTTAGATCTCTACAATAGTCGCTGAAAGCTCATCGGGTTTCTATTTTCTAGCTTTCTCTATTACCGTAACTATTTACAGTTATGCATTTGAATTCTCTTTCCTTATGTTGATGTTGTTCTCATATGTGAACTGTTTAATGAAAGACTTCTGTCAGGTATTCTACTCGTTTATTGCACAAAAATGTAGTTCCATTTGAGTTTAATATGACCATCTCATTTTCGTGGACAATTGTATCTATTTTCTGCAACTCCATAGCACTTTGTTTCTTTTATGTATAAATTTGATTTTTCGCTACTGATTCATACAAATTTTGGAAATGGCTGCTACTAAAGTTACATGCTGAAGAGACAATGAATAAACCATGCACCTGTATCAATTATCACCTAAAATATCCTATTAAAAAGCTGATAAAAAGCTGAATTCTTCAGTGCTGAATTCTTCAGTTTTCTTCATTTGACTTGCAATTAAGTGAATTGTGGGAGGTTCAAATTTTACATGAGAACTGAATGCAATTGCACGAGCCTGGCACGTGAAGGTTGCCTCGCAGACTGAGGCATTAATTCTTCGTTATATTTATATTACTCCTTTTTTTTCCAAACTATGTTTAAAATGCTGCAGTGTCAATACTTTGCTTTTCAACTCCTTGAAATTAACAAGTGGCAAGAGCTTTAATTGTATAATAGGCTCTGAAGCTGCATTTAATTATATGGCCGTTTATCATTTGGGTTTTAACAAGGATATAAAATAATTTTGTTCCCATTTTCCTCGATTGAAAAATGTTAGCCACTTGGTTACTTGGGAGACTTTTTTAACCATCTCAGTAGAAATGAAAGTGAAATGAATCGTTTAACATAAATAAAGAGCTGGAAATTTTCAGATGTTCTAATATCTAAAAATGTTGTTGTTTTCACTACTTTTTTTGGATGTATTTGATTAAGAGATGATTTTGCTTCACATTCTTTCCATTTGAATTTGAACTTCCAATGTTGTATTGCTGTTTTTATTAGATAAATTATTCGAATTTATTTTTTTTTTTTTAAGAAAAGGATTGGCCAAAGGGCGGACCCCCAACCAATCCCCATGTGCAAATTTGAATTCCGTATTGTCAAGGATTCAAACTCGGATCGAGAGGGGACTTATGCAGAGCCGCCACGGTGCACTAATTGCTTGTTATTGTGGAAGCTGAAATGAAAAAGTATTTATTTCGAACATTAACTAAAAGAAGAACAGTAGAAAGTTAACTGATTAGTTGACAACACTCACAGCACAGCATCCGAACCCAGCCATGAGACACTTTATTAGCATGCATGATCAAACGTAGAAAATAAAAATCCCTAACCAATGTTGTGAATATTATCAGCCTACAATCTGAACAGGCTTGAATCCTTTGTCAATCGAATCCCTCACTGCATCCATCACAACCTGATTCTTCCTACTGATGGAAGCCCACTTTTTCTCTGGCTTTGCTCCGCCATCTCTAATGTCTCCAACCAATCTCGAAAACTCAGATATCATGCAAGCCTCCTGTGGAATCTCAGTGGGAATAACATGATTGCTGGGCAATGGCTTCCATCCCGTAATAAGCTCTTTGAAACCAGACTGAGAAGCAAAGATGAACCCTGCAGACTTCTCCTCCAAAGGATTTACAAAGTCGCTCAGAGTTAAAGTCCCTTTTGATCCAACGGCTGTTGCTTGAAATGTTCTGTGAGCAAGGAAGGAGCAATGAAACGTTGCGACCGTTCCATTTTCCCAATGTAATGATGCTCCGCATGAGAGAAGAACTCCTGCTTCGTTCTTAACAGGGTTGGGAAAAGCAACAGCAGTTCTGGGCAACTCGTAGTCTGCAGTCCATAATATGAATCGGATGCAGTACCAGCCAAGATCACCCAGAGCACCAAGGCCGTCAAGATTAGGCCTTACACGGATGTTATCATGGAGGAACTCTGGTTTTGCATGGAAACTAGCTATGCTGTTCACCTGAAGATAGTAGGATTCAGCAAGAGATCATGAGAAAACTGATAATGGTGATCAAACTGGCTTACCATCTTCAGCTGACCGAAGAGATGAGGATCTTGGATAAGGTCGTGCATCTTAGCTGCCCGAGGGTGATGCATCCACACAGTGCCATCCATGAACTGCACATTGTTGGCCTCGCAGGCATCGAGTATCTGGTCAAGGTCTGCAACACAGAGTGCCGCCGGCTTTTCGAGCAATATGTGTTTACCCTTGACGGCGGCAGCAACGGCCCATTGAAGGTGAAGGCTTGTGGGCAGAGGCACATAGACGGCGTCGACGTCGGGGTCATCAAGCAGAGATTCATAGCTGGCGTGCACCTTTGTGTTCTCCGGCAAGCCGTTATCTTTGATGAAGCCGTCAGCTTTGTCTGGGGATCTGCTCCCAACAGCAACAATGGTTGCATTTGAGGATAGCTTGATGGCTCGAGATAACTTGCGCGCTATGGCTGCGCATCCCATGATGCCAAACCGGATAGGCTGTTCCATCTCTTCTGCACGGCTTGCTCGGACCGAGCAACGTTTTTTCTGGATTTGAGCTGAGGAGATTGGTTTGTGCTGTCTCCCAATTTATGCCAAATTATAAAGGTCTAGAAAAAAATGATCCAAAATAGTGCCTGATGATCCCAAATGAGGAAACTGTCTGTCTTGGAAGCAAAGTAGAACTAACGAAAGAGCCAAAGAGTCTTCTTTTTTGGTAATTTTCTTGGAAGATATAAATGTCAAATTATTAAAAAAAAAAAAAAAAGCGCCGCCTTCCACTTGCATCCATATTTATGAGAAACGACAAGTCTTTAGTGGCTGGCATCCAGCTAAAAATTCAGCGCCGTTCCTCCCCCGCGAACAGCAGTTGTCAGTTTGTTTCACAACAGCCGTATGATTTTTATTTTTATTTTTTCAATTAGATTCAAAATTAATAATTAGAGTATTCTTCAAATTTAAATCTTCTGGTTGGAAAGAAGATTCTTTATCAAATCGATTAGATTAAAAATTGGTGATTAAAATGTGCTTTGAATATGAATCTTTTGATTATAGAGAGGAATGTCTAACTACTTCACAAACCTTGAAAAACCCTAAACTTCATCCAGCTGAATCATAAAATTTTCTCTTACTGATTTTAAGCTCAATTTATGGATGAATCATAACTTACGGATCTGGTTTTAAAGAGCATCAGGATAGTTTAAAGGAGCATTAAAAAAATAATTAAAATAATTAAAAAAAAAAAGCTTGAGGAGAGGTTGATTGATTTAGCTTATAGGATCGGGTCTACGGCGGATCCAATGGCTCACAGCTCGTAATCCCCGCAGTCTAATAATGCCGCATTTTTCAGTGTGATGTTGTTAAGCAGAGCTCGATTTAGCTCTGGTTTAGTCCAACTAATTCTCTATATATCTAAAACCTCATCACTGTTAAATCCTGATCTGACTTTGAATAATTTAGTCTGGTTTATCAAATCTTGTGGCTGAACTAAGGTTTATGAGATTCATCAAATTTAAATGTTTTATTACAAATCTACACTTAGCCCGCGTTAATTTTACCTTCTTCACATGCATTTAATTAATTAATCAAACTCAAATCATTTTTCTATAAGAAAATTGATTATTTAATGAACACGTTTGAATAATATTTTTGCTTAATTCTTTGATGTTCACAAGTAGTTTCATATAAAGCTCGCGAATATGCTTGTTAAGAAGTTCGATGAATAATCTCATTTAATATTCTTCACTAAAGTTTGATGAAAACTAAGTTAATGCCTGTGAATAAAAAATAATTTAAAAAATAATTTATAGTTAATGATTTAACTCAATTAAAGTATGATTTAAATTTTATTTATACTGAATTAACTAAAAATTTTAATTTTTAATATATAAAATAACATAAAGTCTTGTTTGCTTAGTTGTTCATTTATTTTTTTGTATTCATATGCTTATTTTAGTTATTTAGTTAATAGATTGTTCATTTAAAAAATTATTTGTTTCTATAAATTCAACAAATAACTCATTTAGAAGTTTAATAAAGCTCACCCGATTTCAAAATAATTAACTCAATCATGCCACTCATTAGTTTGCCCGATAAGACTCATTTGATTAGAAAAGAAAGAACTTGATAGCACTAATATTAATTTACTGAATAAAGATTGTTTGTTTAAAAATTAAGTAACTCAATAATACGATTCATTAATCAACACGATAATATCCTAATAATCATTATATGAAATGAACCTGATCCAACCTCCAAAAATTATAATAATAAATAACCCAAACTTGAAAATAAACATAGAAGCACAATCTCAACTTTATAAATAAACTTAAATTTGAACTCTCAGCTCTGTTAGGAGGTTGCAAAGGAGGGTCATTTTATTAAATTCCCAACTCTTCTTACAAAATAGCATCTGACTCAAAAGTAATCATTTTATAAGACGACATATATAAAAAAAATCAATTTTCTTATGAACTAGAACTAGAAAAAATATATATTGTGATTATAAAAAAATAACTTTTTTTTTTCTTTATGCTGTAATAAGCGGGTCAAATAAATAGTTAAAATACAATCCTTCATTGTGTTCTATGTTTTCATGCCCAACATAAACGCATTTATTCTTAAAAAATAATATTTTTTATAATGATCCAGTGATCCTTCCACACCAGAATAAATAAAAATTACAAAAAAAACGAGAAAAAAACTAATGCTTGATAAACTCGTTCATGAATTGAGAATACATTATATTTTGCTGACTCCAATAAAAAAAATCAATGCACAAAATGCAGCATTAAATGCTTGTCTCCCCAATTTGTTCATCTTTGTTTCATGGCAGCACGCCAGGGAATTTTTAAGCATTGAATCATGCGGCAAATTATTTCTGAAAAGAGGAGAAATAAGAAAAAGAATTGGTTGAATGTATAATTATCTTCTCAAATTGTGAAGACGATGAGAGCCCCCAAGCAGATCACTTGGAGCCACAGCAAGCAAAGTAGCTCATAAGCGTCTTCCTCCCCTGTAACAGATAACAAACACCTTTTTAACTAACTTAAAACACATCGATCATAATAAATAATATATAGAAATGTTAACAAAACATCAATCCAACAAGCTTCTTTATAATCAAAACTAAGGATTTAATATCAAAGACTAACAATCTTCATCGATACAAGAAAAATTAAGAAGACATCATTAAAAAATTAAAAAAAAACATTATTATGTGAAAGCGACCAAATCAATAATAAGATCAATGCATAACGAAAAGACATCACATTTATTTTAAGAACGTAATCATGAAAAGGATATTTTGATAACGAAATCACTCAAATTAGATCGAAAATCAATATAATACTGTTAAATACAGTAATCAGCAAAAGCCCGACAGAGCTTGAACGGAGAAGAAGAGAACTGAAGCAGCATACCGGTGAACTATGTTTCACTTGAATAACCGGAGGAGCGGTGCTGTACTGAGAAAGAAGGTCGGCTTCCTTTCCCATGGACATACGGGAGTAATCGGACTTGCTCTGCTTGCGATTCTCTCTAATCTTAGTGAAATCCATGGAGTAATCAGGCATACCCTGCAGCTTCTCCCAATCCCCGAACGCCGGTACCGACATCCAGTTCTCCTTCGACACCTGAAACACAATCCCCCCATCAGATTCCTAATTTCTTCTAGGAAATCGCAAGCTCCCAAACAGTGCTTCAAGAAAAACTCACAAAAGTGGAAATTAAAAAAGAAAAAAATGGCTTACATCGATGCTGCGATCCATGGGGAATCGGAGAAGAAGAAGATGTGTAAGGAATTTGCAGAGGAGCGGAGGAGTCGAGAGGAAGAAGACTGGAGAAGGAGTAGGTCTGACTATCGGTGGCCGGCAGGATTTATATGCTTCTGTCGTATAATTGGCGCCTGCTCTATCCTGCTTTCGTAGAAACTTGGACTGAGAAAATTGAAATTTATTTATTTATCTATTGTAATTGTTTTGAAATATTTACTGTTGAGAAATTAGTGCGAAGAGAAACAAAAACGACACAATTCTAGAATAATACACAGAGATTTGCGAGGTTCGGCAAAGATGCCTACGTCCTCGGGAGTAGAGCGGCGACTTTCTTTTCAATATTCAGAAAAGAATACATAATACAATATTCAGCTCTCTCAAAGACCTAGGATTACAAACATGTATATTTATAATCTTAGAGTAAACCCTAAAGTACAATATGTAATTCCAAATTACTAATGTACCGTATAGCGGGGCGTTAACCTAGCACCCCCAACCCACATAACGTAACTTTCCGATTTAGAAAGATTATTCCGCTTCGGTCCGCTCTGCTCTGTTTCGTTCCAGCGTCTGTCCCTATATGGTATATGAGTCATACCATAACAAATCTCCACCTTGGCTAATATCTATCCTCTTAGGAGAAAAGATACTTGGGATTTACACATGCACCAATGTAGGTTGGGCCACCATGCTTCTGCTGCGCCCACGCTAATCTCAACCTACTAAATTCCAAGGGACGCACCTCTTTAATTCCAAGAGACATCTCTTCATTCCAAGTGACTCCAAGTTCTGGTATTATGAGTCATCCTAACAATTCTCCACCTTGGCGAATATCCAGCCATTTAGGAGAAAATCTTCATCTTGCGAATATTCAATCCCTTAAGAGAAAAATCTTCACCTTGTGAATATTCTGCCTTTTAAGAGAAAATTTCCACCTTGCAAATATCCAGCACCTTAGGAGAAACATCTCCACCTTGCGAACATCCTGCTCCATAGGAGAAAATCTCCACCTTGCGAATATCCAGCCCCTTAGGAGAAAAATAACATGGAGTTTCTTATGCACAAATGTGGGTTGAAGCACTTTTCCTGTTCGCGCCAGCACCTCGTCTAAACTGCTGTCCCGTGAGGGAAATCCTTCGCGAAATACCTCTGCGAAACCACTGTTCGAGAATAATCGCCTATGCTCGCTTGCCAGCACCCTACCGAACTCCACCTGTCGCAACTCCTCCTGCGACAAACTTGCAAACTCCGCTGGTCGAACATCACCAAACTCCTCTGTTCGCAAACGCTCCTATTCGCGGTAACTGCACACGAACTCTTGTTCGCTAACTCCACCTCGCATAATGCCGCGAATGTTCATGAACCGTCGTGCCTCGAAGTCGCGACGCCGCCTCTACCGCGAACTCCTCAAAGCATAACTCGTTGAACTGTCGCGGCCCTTTATCCGAACTGCTTCGCATCTGTTCGTTCCCGCGAGCCCGTTTGTCTTGCGAACAATCCACAAAATTTTATTTTTTTCTGCGCCGTAGCCAAAATTTTCTTTCTTCAGCTAAGGAAATTCAGAAAATACTTCGAAATTTTCTTCTCCGCAAGATTCCTTGTTAAGCCAGAAATTGTATTTTGATTCTGCCACAAATCTTTTTAAATAATCACTTAATTAAGATTCTTTAATTAAGTTTATCTTAATTAAGTTTTTAAGAAAAATGATTTTTCTTTAATTAAGTTTCCGAGAGAAGCAACAAAATATTTCTAAAAAAAAAATTAAAATATTCCCTTCATTAAATATTTTAGTTAATTAACTGAATTTCAAATACATTCCTTTCTTAAGCCTCCAACAAAAGAAATCTCACACAAATCCAACAAAGAAAATTTTAATTAAGTTTCATTAATTAAATATTTTTTAAATCATCTTATAATTAAAAAACAACCTTCCTTTAATTAAGTAAAATTCAAAAAATTTCCTTTCTTCAACGGGAAAAGAATTTATTGATTTCCTTCTTTTTTCCTCTCTGTAGCCTCCAAAGGAAACAGATCGAACCAGCAAAAGAAACAAATGGGAAGATTCCTTCCAATTTCTTAAAGATAACCTTCTTTTCACGAATGCGAATGCGTTGAACCTTCCTTTGCAAAACTTCCTTCTTTTTCAGATTCACACACAAAAGAAAAGATTCATTTCTGTCGCCGAAACAAAAGCACGAACGTCCCTCCCGCGACACGAACTCTTCCTTCCACCTCCCGCCTCCTGCGGGAACAGTGCGTCTGCGAACTAGGCCCTCTAGCAGCAATCCTCCGCTCCTTCCCGCGCCGCGCCGGACAACTCCCCAGCACAACTCCCCAGCAGCCTTCCGCACCGCGAAGCTCTCTGTCGCGATCCTTCTGTTCGCGAACCCAAGCGATCCGCTTGTTCGCCGATCGGAAAGGAGGCAAGCAATCTTCCGCGCCTCTCGATCTTCTCGTAAGCCGCAATTTGCCGAACACTTGGAGTTCTTGATATTTAGCTGCAAAATTTTCTTCAAATCTTCTTTCTTCCTGAGCCGCCGAAAATTTTCTTTCCCTCGAACCCAGCTCTGATACCACTTGTTGAGAAATTAGTGCAAAGAAAAATAAAAACGACACAATTCCAGAAGAACACACAAAGATTTAACGAGGTTCGGCAAAGATGCCTACATCCTAGGCAAAGATGCCTACATCCTCGGGAGCAGAGCGGCGACTTCCTTTTCAATATTAAAAAAAAAATACATAATACAATATTCAGCTCTCTCAAAGACCTAAGATTACAAACAAGTATATTTACAAATACATAATACAATAATCTGTCCCTATATGGTATATGAGTCATACCATAACATTTACGTATTTATATATTCAATATTTAAATTTTAATTTGTAGAATTTATTTATGTATAAAAAGGTGTATTTCATTTTTTTTAATTAAAAATAATGATATTTTTTTACGATAAAAAAAATTTTGAAAAATGTGATCGTAAAATGTGTAGTTTAGGAGATAGATGTAAATAGGTAAAATTTGTGTGGCATGCATGTAAATGCTCATTATTTTCTTCTAATATGATTTTATTTTTAAAATATTTGTTTTGTTTTAATTATTATATTATATTTTGATGGTACTAATTTTCACTTTGATTATAATTTTATATAAAAGTATTTTTTTTTTTAAATAGACAATGTGATATCTAACCAGTTATAACTATTTTGAAGCGTATGTCTAACTTTTCATAAATTTATCGTAAAATATAAATATATAAATATATATAACCCTTAATTTAAAATTAAAAATAAAAAAACATATTCTGATTAAATTTTTTATTTAAATTAATTAATGCACAACCATTTAAGAAACAGTCAGCGAAAGACAGCAAGATGCCACGTGGTTGCACAGGCGTAAAATTGACTGTTTGCTCAGGGGGGTTTTGGGGATTGCACATTAGTACCAGTCGCACAAAACAGCAGACTGCCAGTTTAAAGTAAACTATCGCGGCCAGCCATTTTTGTTGCATTAAAATGCTAATATCCTATAAAATATTATTCTAGGAAGATGTACACGTATACCACTTAATTCTTATATATTTACATATCTAACACCTCAGTAAATTTTATTTTTTTTTAAATTAAAATGTTGATATTTTCTATGTGGTGTAAAAGATTTGGGTGGTTCAATTGTGAAAAGTGAAGTTTAAATGTTAGTTGTGTAAAGTGTTGAATCAAAGATTGTTTGTGAAACACATCAAATGAATAAATAGTAGATGAGGAGAAAATGAGATACGAACATTAATAAGTAGTGCTGATATTTCTCCTATTTATAGAGAATGTTGTAGAATAGTTATATTATATTCTTACCCCCATTTGAAGAGAGACTTTAATGGGATATTTATGATATTTAAAAAATTGGTTTATCGTCTGGTTATCTTCTATCTTAGCAAGCTAAGCTTTCGACTGGATCAGCTTGTTCGTCTGAGCTTAGTCGGTAGAGTTCGATAGGATGATCAAGTCTAGTTGACTATCTTCAATCCCTAATAAGGAGTCATTGGGTCTTCGTTGGGTGGTCGAAGATAAAGCAGAATTAGCTCTTTCATTGGGTCGACTCCACCGTGGGATAGACTATTGCATTGAGTCAGATTTCCTGCAGTGGATCGCTCAGCACTCTCTTGTCTCATTTCTGGTCAAATGGCTTTCACTCAGATCACCCGGTCGTCTTCTTATCCACCTTTTAGCTCAGTAAATCTTGGCTTAGTTAACGTGGCTAGGATGACTTGGCTCGTCTGGCTAGGTGCTCCTCACGATCTCTTTGCAACGGATCTACCTCCATTGTATTCTTTTCTTCTTCTTATTTAGATCTTTGTAAGATCAATGCAAGAAACTTTTTGATGTGCATATTCTTAAACCTTAGATTCCATCACTTCTTAAAAGAGACACTGTGATAAGAAGAAAATAATTAAACGTAAAAGTATAAGTCATTCAATTTTAATTAAAGATTCAATGATTGAATTATTTTGATTTCATATCTTTTGATTCTTATACATATGGCAAAGAGACTCCTCATTCCTAATTTGCCCTGCGCTATCCTCTATTAGAGTCAATCGTCTTTCGTGTTTTAGGTATTGCAATGGACAAATTGATGAAGTCCCAAGCAGATTGCCCCCATCAAAGTTTAATTTGCTTTGTCTTCGGAGAGTTGAAAGGATAGGACCGTCTGGAGGTTGAGAATAGGAAAATGACTGTCGTGAAGAGGAAGAGAACTGCACTCTCACGACTTGATTAGGTGGGACCATTTGATTAGATCTTCGACACAGAGTGAAGGAATGGTTAGTTATCTCGTTACTGCTTATATGCAACAGTATAACAATGTCTTTGATGATATTTTTCACTTATGTTTCCTTATTTTGCAACAGAACAAAAAACTTTATCCTAGAGAAAATAAGAATTTAACTTTTTAATTTATATATATTGGGATACTACTCAAGTATAGGTATCGTTATCAAGTGATATAGGACTTTTTGATTAAGACCTGAATATCGAACCCACGTGAAAAATTAGCAATATGCACTATTGAACAACAAACT